GATTGAGGACGACAGCAAGGCTGGCCTCTTATGATAGGTGTCCTTACTGGGTGCAAGGAAGCCTTCTAGTGAGCTGGCAATTGAGTGCCGAGCTTCTACTAGCTGTCAGCAAGCGTGCCTGGTTGGCTTGAACGCTGTGCTGGACGGTAAGGTGTGTTGAACCTGTACCGTGAGGATTGAGAGCTTGAGTTCTTGGTGGAACTTCGAAGCTTAACAAGTAAGATTTTTGGTTCTTGACTTGTTCTTTCTTCCGTTGAAATCTCTTTTTTCTAACTCTGGTTCCTTTGCAGGACTCGCGAAGAGATTAGTGAGATTGGAAGTGCACACACAAACTCTGATTCACTCTCTGGTTCCTTACGAAAAGGACGCGCGAAAAGAGTTTCACAAGTTGTGGTGGTGTTTGCTGCACAAAATTCTTTCCACTCCCTGGTCTCTTACGAAAAGAGCGCGCAAGGGAAGTTTTCAGAAATTAAGTGTTTAGCTACTACCAACTGGTCCTTTACTACCCTCTGGTCTCTTACGAAAAGAGCTCGCGAAAGGGGTTCAATTTGCAGTGGAGTTGTTGCACCGACTGTTTTCTTTACTACTCTCGGGTCTCTTACGAAAAGAGCGCGCAACGAGAGGTTCAATATTCAGTAGTGTTACCTGCCAGCTGGTCTTTTACTACCCTCTGGTCTCTTACGAAAAGAGCTCGCGAAAGGGATTCAATTTGCAGTGGAGTTGTCTGCCGACTGGTCCTTTACTACCCTCTGGTCTCTTACGAAAAGAGCTCGCGAAAGGGGTTCAATTTGCAGTGGAGTTGTGGAACCAGCTGTTTTCTTTAGCCCTCGGGTCTCTTACGAAAAGAGCGCGGAGGGTGTCAATATTCAGTGGTGTTGCTCAACAACTGTTTTTCTTACTACTCTCGGGTCTCTTACGAAAAGAGCGCGCAACGAGAGGTTCAATATTCAGTGTCCTGCCACGCGGGTCTTGTAGGCCTTGATTTCCGAGGGGAAATGCAAGGAAGTTCACTGGACGATGCACCAATTTGGTGTGTACCAAGTGATAGGGTAGACGAGTAGTTGTGGAATAGGTTTATTCACACTGGCGTAGATTAGTTGAGAGCCATCTGCCGAGGTGTCCCGGTGTTAACCGGGGAAGAACCTCTAATACATTCGGAGGCTCCTTATATAGGAAGAAAGGCGGAGCCAAACCGAATACAAGGTACAAAGTAAACGAGTTGGTGCTTAAAAGGAGATGCCGCCGATTGGCTACACTCCTGGCGCACAGGTACCACTCACTCTTGAGTGATTAGATACTCGAGAGTAAGTAGCTCACCATTTAGCCTACGGGGATCCCGTAGGCTATACAGATTATAGAGTTCATCAATGGTTGATGATCCAGAAATCATCAACAATGAAATTAGAACCATAAAAAAGAGGATGAAATGCTGCATCGAATGCCTCTAAGATCTCTCAAAAATGTTGATTCCACGAATAGTGGCGTTCATTCGAAAAAAGCGACATTACTTTCGGAACGACCTAATATAAAGCTAAATGTCTGTTTGTATGTCTATCTGTATGTCTGTCTGTATGTGCTCAGACAATCGCTGGGGGCAGGCGGGCACCGGAAAAATAGATTGCTGATTTCTCGCACCCCGCTCGCGGATTTTTTGCAAAGCGATCAGGACTTTTCGGAAGACCGCTTGCTGAGTCAGCGGATTTTTGAGAGACCGCCTGTTGAATTTTTTTTCGCGCTTATCTTTTGCAGATATATTGCTGAATCTCTGAGAAATCGAGAAATCAGCAAGCGGTCTTCCGAAAAGTCCTGATTGCTTTCCAAAAAATCCGCGAGCGGGGTGAGAGAGATCAGCAATCTATTTTTCCGGTGCCCGCCTGCCCCCGGCGATTGTCTGAGTGTGTACGTATGTTCCGAATAGAAAATTCCTCTGAACCGATCCGGACCAAACCTGGCACACATACACTTCGGGCCCCGGCGGGTGTCATAGGCTACTTTTCGTCATCGATCGATATCGATTTTATCGATTTTTATCGATTTTTTTGCAGAGTCCACCTACGGGGCTGGGAGTTGGCACAGGGGGTAATCGAGCATGGGGATTCCGAATACAATATTAGTTTGGCGCTATTCGGCTATCCGGGCCCCAAAATTGTTTTGTCGTAGAGCTTGCTCCAACTCGTGTATATGGGTTATCTACATGTTGATTACAGATATCACACTTCCGAGAACTTCCCCCATGTGGTTACGGTAGATGTACGGTAGGAATTCAGTATCATGAATTCGGCTGGAGTTCGATCCAGAGAACTCATTCAACATGATGAATTACGAATTTCGTACTCTCTCTGCAAATTGGGGCCTTTTCATGGAGTTATGGTGGTTATACGGTATGGAATCGAAAATAATACGATCGGTTTTCAGATTCGTGTGGAGGTGTATTACAGACTTCGCCTAATAATACAGGTACAGTTGTTGAACCTCCACGTCATAGCATTGCTTTTAGTACTCTCTCGCTAGCAAAAACCGCCACGCGTTGAATTGGCAAGACTCCACCTCCATACGAATCTGGAAACCGATGATAGATTTGCTTCAAACTTCTAGGGATTTAGCGCGCTGAACACGATTACCATGCTGATTTCGCAATATAGCGCATTTTCTTGGGTTACGGTGGATGTACAGTAGGTGGGTCGAAATTCCAGATTTGCTTCTTACCTTAACGGTAGGGAAACGGTCGTTCTGCATGGCGGTCTCCAGCGCCATCCTGATAACCTGTCTCAACGCGTAACGCACGCGGCAAATCTCCCTCCCCTTTTTTGCTTAGGCAAAAGCCGCCGAAGGGTGTATCGCGCGCGGCAGTGGTCCTATTGCCTAAGGCATACCTCGCGCGATTCCGGTCGCTGCGCGATTTGGCACAACAGCGATCTTCGTAATTCGTCATTACTGCGCTTCCTTTGGTCAGAACTTGCTCAGTGTGCAGCAACTTACACAAGCTACCCTAATATGCGTCCAAGAAGCGCGCACGACAAAGTTGTAAAAATATGGCAAATCGCCAAGTCGCGTGAAAGTGGCGATTCCGCCGAATCGCGTTAGGTATGCCTTAGGCCTATAAGGAAAGCATTACGGTCGTGGGGAGCTTTGATACCACACGAATTGTTTTTATCGTGGGGATTGAGCAAGATATTCTGAAACAGCATTTTAGGTAATTCCTTGCCAAGTTTTCAGGCAGGTTCATGATTTTTACCCGTTGCCACGCGAAATGACTACGATATTCGTCATCAGCGGCTTGATTAACCCCCATATACCGAGTTTGAGCAAGATCCACCACAAAAACATTTTAGGGCCCGGACAGCCGCATAACGCCATCAGTTTCTAGAATCTTTACTTCTATCGAATTTTATTGTTTTTTTTTTGCAAAGTTTGAGCTACGGGGCTGGGGGGTTGGTGAGGAGGGTTAGGTGGGCATACTGATTACTAACACAGTGGGAATAGGGAATTGCATGTAGAAGTGGGCACAGTTAAAGGTGTACAGGGATAGAAATGGAACCTTTATCGTTTTTGACAGATAGGGCGGAGCCGGATATGGCAGCTAGTGATCTAATATATGAATGAAGCAGAGTTTCTTGCAATGACGAGATTTCAAAAAAATTGCCTAGCGAAGGAAGCTGTCCGCTAAACGAGAATACTCTTGATAAAACGCTTTTCATGATTTGCAGACATATCCGTCAGCTGTTAAAGATTCAACTCATAAGAATCCAGTGTCGCAGATGGTTAGGATTGATATAGAATTCCACCTTATAACGTCATTTGTCCTGATAAATGGTTACCATAATTTCTCGAAGACGAATGGTGTTCCCGTGGCATTAGCGAAGAGAAATGATGTGGATTTAAGACACGTTACTGTACTACTTCTTGGGATAACTGTACGCTTCCAAACCCGACTAGTTTTGTGCCGCGGTAGACGTATTCTGTCTTCTCAGACACATTTACCGGCAGGCGACCGATCGCCGGCCGGACGCCGGCCCGTTTTGGCCCAAGACGATGGGCGACAGCCGGTAGAAAACGTTGCACGCATTACATTAATCACAAAGCGCGAATTTTTTGAAGCGGCTGCCAGCCGATAATGTAAGAACGGAGCGCCCAATTGACGCTGGAGCAAAGTTTCCTCTTTTGCCTAATTAGTTTACTTCCAGTTGTATTCGCAACACGGATAATGACAGATTTATTCGCAGAAACACATGAATACACCGAACTCATTACTTGCATACAGGAAGAGCGAAGCCATGGAAAGATGTAATTCTGCAGTATGAGAAAAAACGAAAATAAAGAAGATATGGGTGAAATAGATTGCTTGCATATATTCATACGGGTGACATTTTTTAGGGTAAAAACACCGAACTGCACAGAATGAGATTTATTTAATAACGCGATTTTCTTGATAAATTTTCGATAGTGATAGTTGATGCCGCATAAGCGTTGCATTCAAGGGCAAAATGCTTTGAGAACAAATATGGAAAATACGTTGGGCTTTTCATAAAAGCGTGCGGCCAATGATATGCTTCCTACAAAATAACACAAATATCAAGAAAATCGCGTTCGGCATTCTTCACGAGCAGGAAGAGTGATGAGCTATAAGAGTGTATCAAAGCTTGAGTGGACTTCAAAATCTTAAGATTCATAGATATGTCAAAAAAATAGAGATTCTTCATGAAATAGCGTACAGGGGGGGAATGAAATATTTGTTATAATTTTTGGAGGAGGGGGATGGGGAGGAGCTGGCTTTTATCCTTCTTTCTAACTGACATGAAAACATAGAGTAGAAAGAACTTTGTCTATAAAGACATCGCTAAGCCCACTAAACGCAACATTCAACTTTCCCTAAAAACAGAGAGTAGGAGTAATAGTGATAGAAAGAGAATGCGTAAAGAGAATATTGGACAAATTTGGAAGTGCTGGGCAAAAATATGCGCCAAGCTTTTACATTTGCGCTGAAGAAACCGGTTATAAGATCAGTCCTCTTCAGGTGGAATATCCTCGTTCGTCTCCTGATGTGTCGCCTGTTGGTGCTGTTTCCGTGCCTGAAACACGGCCTCTCTTGGCCTTGCGCTGCAACATGTGGGATTGGCTGTCATGCGAGAATGTAACGTAGGAAATTACATCATTGGCTATAAAAAGTACTCTTTCGCAGTCATACTTACTTGCCCTGATGTCGCAACTACATAAATATTATTCTTCGTAATATCAATGCAAGACAGACTTACAATGCTGCCTAAAGGCCTTGGATAACTTGAAACGCTAGAAACTGCCCACCTGGCTAAATTCACCAACGCTTGAGTTTCCATTTCCATATCCAGCTCTTCCATGAAATCTGCAACGTAGTTTTGTGAAAGGTCAAGCAAGGGAACCACTTCAAGCATTTATCACCCACAAGTAATGTTCCACAACGCCGAGAAGACCTCGCAAGGAGGTCTTACACTTTTAGCATTCAAGCGTACCGAGTACTGCTAGATTTGAAACGGTGGAGTGAATTCGCTATCCGGAATACGGCCCAAAATAAGCTACTTTTTTGAAAGTGTAGCGGTATATTTCAGTGAATGTCTAGAATAAGCTTCCTAACTCTCTCATTGACTTTGTAGTCCAATATGAGATCGTTGAGAGAAACCTTCGCAAAATTTTTGGTCCTGAAGTTACTTGGATTAAAGTACCTCAACAAAAGGCTGAGGTCCGTTTAGTATCCAGCATCTGACTCAAAAACTACACCACAGTAATTTGGTGGAGATACAAACAAACCGACATTATTGTATTCCTTTCCATCAAAAATAGTCAATACTATTCCACCATAGACGGAGCTTACCGTCGCAATATTAGCATCGACTGTATAGGCAGTGCTGAAAATCAGTTCCAATAACCAGCATATGATCGCGGTGATCCGAACACTAACCGCGAAGATGGCTTAAACCTGCAAGGACATGTAGCAGCCTTCGTTGATGTTCATAAATGTAGAGTTTCTGCTGGTCCAATATACCCCAAGCTCCTGAGTTATCAGCACATTAGCAAGCTAGGTGAATGTAATGACTGCGTCGCACTCACGACCTGGAGCAAGGACCAAAATCGCATTTGGGCGGTGGCGACAGCGAAGCGACATGGTTAGCTGCCCTCTTCAGCGTCCGCAACAAATATCTAAATAGTCGAGTTGAACGAAGATCTCCTACATCATCCCTCCCCTCTCTTCTGCACCCTCAGTCTCCTCCCCCCCCCCCCCTCCTACTAGAAATTAGACTAAAGTTTTGCTGTGAAGCAATGACGAACGCATTTAGCGTTGAGTCCAAGGGCAGGCCAGAGCCAATTTTACGAGTTCGGCGTTACTTCCTTCACGTATCGAAGGCACAAAATGGAATGTGCGGCCTATTTTCAATTCCCAGTATCTACTTAGGACCACAGCAAACCTCTTCGAGTGATCCATTTGCGAAAGTCTAAGCCGTTCCTTTCGGAGAAGTATCGGCAGAGCTGTTGAGCCGGTTGTGTTCCTCTGGCCGATACTAAGTTGATGCCTCGGTAATCCGGAGGCGCTGATCTTCTAGCACATTGTCGAACTTGCGCGAATCCATTGGTGATGGCCTTCCAAGACTTCGACGGTGGCTGCGCATGCTGGCTCTCACATGTGCTCCATGCCATTTTCTGCGAGTAATATCAACGGCAGTGATCAGTAAAAGTAAGTGATAAATGCATGCGTCGAACACACAAAAAAGATCGAGCGGACTTGAATAAAGAAGAAACTTGTCTGAAAAGTAGAACAATCATCTGCTACTTCAAAGGTAAAAGAGGACAAGATCCATATGTCATGTCAACATTCACTGTCAATTTTCCAATGCTAACCCAAAAACAAAGAATGTATTCTTAGAAGTAGTGGATCTAAATTAGCGTGTTGAAATAAGATCATCGATCGGCAGACGCAAAAGGTCAAGTTGTCGAAACTCGTATGAGATATTGACATCTAGCCACTAATTTTCCAAAAGCACCTAAAATGAGATGAAGACCAATGCTTGAGTTGCTAACAGCAGGAAATGGCTGTGGATTTGTACCAAGAATCATATCGGATTACTATCATGAAGAATAGCGTGGTGAAAACAACAAGACTGGTTCGAAGTCGCGAAAGGTCAAGAAAGTATCGAAATCGTATGAGTTTATATCTTTGTCTGCCTGGTAAACTCTGTCTTGAGTTTAACTCAAGACAGAGTTTATCAAAAAAACCACAAATAAAAGATCGATACGTGGGCAAAAACGATGAGCCACCTCCAACTCAAGCGAAGAACGAAAGTGATGCAACGTCTTGCACTTTCGCCCCCAAAATGGCGGGTGGTCCTGAGGTGAACACGTCACGCGGCAGGTAACAAAATACAAAACGACACGAAACAATGAAAAAAAGTAAAAGAAGCATATCAGATCATATCGCAGGTATATCCTCTTCTTTCTTCAATCCTGTATCGTCATTCCATCTTTACAAATAGGCTTGTGAAATACAAGCGTAGATTTTCAGCCTTCTACAATAGTTAGTTCTTGAGATTTATCGAATTTAGCTTCTTTCCTTCTATTCTTTAGACTGAATTCTATATTTCCCAAGAACTGCTTCTTACAGAAGGTTGAAAACCTATAGTTGTATTTCTCAAGCTAAGTGTTACAGAATTATGTATGCAGGAGGAGCTCAGCATCATTTTACGGCAAAAGCATGTAAATTTTCAATTTTTGACGTAAAGGAGGTGCCGCCCGCTGAAGGTTTAGCCACGCCCCAAAATTCTGCTGAGCGCCTGCAGAAAAACGCGAGTTTGCGGACCGCCTGCCCCCGGCGATTGTCTGACTCTTGCATTCAGTAGAAATTATTACTTTCTGCCTATATCAAAAATCCCGCTCCAAAAAATCGCCAAAGTATGGAAATAGGAGCAAACCAAGATTTGTTTGTCCCATTTTTCCATTTCAATGGCTTGTTTCCACTAACTATTACGAAAACGAATCGGGCTCAATTTACTCCTCCAAAATCTTTAGATTTAAGCTATCGAATCATATAAATGTCTTTCGCTAAAAATGTTTTTGAAGGTAAGTTAATCGGGCTGCTAAATGTGGCTGCCACAGCTTTTTAGGGATTGCACCACACCTTCAAAGCATTCAGATATCCGTGTTTCTCATATCTTTGCTACTCTCAGATAATCGCCGGGGGCAGGCGGCCATGCGATTTATGGGCAGGCGGGCACCGGAAAAATAGTTCGCTGATTTCTTGCGGTCCGCTTGCAGATATTTGGAAGAATTTTAGCGAAATTTTAGACGAATGCTTGGAGAACAATCGCGGTTTCCTTATAAATTAGCTGCTTCGCAAAGGCCGCATTCTCGCGGACTTTCCGCGAGAATGTGCAAAATTTTCGGGGGCCGCACGGCCTTTGTGGAGGACCGCGCAGCCCGCGGGTACTTTCCGCTGAGAGAAAGTACCTCAAACTTGAGTAATTAAACCAACGGTGACATCTGCCACACAGACTTTTACCTGTGCTCGGCGTACGCCCGAAACTGCTTAAAAAGTCCGAACGCTTGCTGAAAGTTTGGCCAGCACTTGCTGAAAGAAATTATTTACCGAGCGCTTGCAGAAAATGCTTTATTGCTGTCCGCTGGCAGAATATGCGACCGTAAAGGAAGTGCCGCCAGCTGAAGGTTTGGCCACGCCCCAAAATTCTGTTGACTGCTTGCAGAAAAGCGCGAATTTGCTGACCGCCTGCCCCTGACGATTATCTGAGTGCTAGGCCTTCTTTCCCACGCAGTAGTAATTTCATTCGAAATCGTTTGTTCAAGGAAAAAATAGCATCAATTTTCCTTACCTATAGAAACAGAAAATACTGGGAAAACATTGGGTTATGGTAGCATGCTGAGTGTGCTCTACTAGGTGAATCGCGAGAAAAGGCTGCAAGAATGTATACATTCGGTACTCTAAACCTCCTTATTCTCACAGAAGTGATTTGAGCTCGAATGGTTTTCGAGTATGAGATTTTTGAATCGAGACATGAGACAAACAAAATCTTGGCTAGCTTCTAATCCTACAGTTTGGAAATTTTTTAGAGCGGGATTTCTGATGTGGGCAAAGAAGGAGTAGCGCATACTAATGGGTGCAAGAGGTAGCTCACTTGTTAGATATTCAAATACTTAGATGGCCCGTCTTCACTGGCGTGCGGGCCCCAGCACAAAAGTTGCCATTTGTCTCTGTCCCTCGCTTCAGACATCCGCGGTCTTCTTGCTCGTCATTGGTGGCTGCGTCCACGAGCTCCAGGGGCGAAAGTCGTATCCAGCTGATTTCTCAGCTGGTCCATCCGTTTCACGAACACGTCTGCGCATCTCGTTGGTGGTCTTCTTCAGGGAAGTTTGCTTCGCGAAGAATTCAATCAGACATTCTTGGTGCCCATCTGTTGTCCGTTCTTCTCATGATGTGACCGGCCCATCGATGTTTCGTCTTCGCAACGTATTCCGCTGGGTCACAAAGACAGGACATTATTCTTAAATCCGCATTGCAAGTCCGACTAGATGTTGCTTGCGTCGGTTCATCCTCAGAAAACTGCGCTCGAGCGCTCTGTGGGTGGTCCGTAAAACTTTCGACGTGGCTACATGGTGTTGGCCCAAATCTCAGCTGCGTTACAGAGCGCCGGAACAACTGTTGAGTCGAACAGGTGGGCACGAAGCTTCGGATCCGTCACTTGGTCGGTGGCTTCCTTCGGAGGCCGAAGGCGGCCCAGGCTGCTCTTCTTCTCCTGTTAAGTTCTTCCCTCAAGTCGTTCTCCATGTTCATCGAACGCCCGAGATACACGTAAGAAGACGTCTCCATAATCGGGGTGTGCCTTCCATCCAATTCTGCATCTTCGCAAAGGGTGTTTCTCATGAACTGAGTCTTCTTCCAATTCACTCGCAGTCCGATCTTTTTCCCTACTTCGTTTAGTTCCTTCAGCATCGTTCTGCTTCATTGATACTGCTCGAGAAGAGAGCGATGTCATCCGCAAAACGAAAGTTGGATAGGAATCTCCCATCAACTCGTATGCCTCTCTCGTCCCACTCAGATAATCGCCGGGGGCAGGCGGTCCGCAAACTCGCGCTTTTCTGCAGGCGGTCAGCAGGATTTCGGGGCGTGGCCAAATCTTCAGCGGGCGGTATTTGCGTTTTCTGCAAGCGGGCATCAATACAAAATTTTCTGCAAGCGCTCGTCAAACAATCTCTTTCAGCGAGCGCTGGCCAAACCTTCAGCAGGCGCTCAGACACTTTTTACGCAGTTTCGGGCGTACGCCGAGAAAAGATGAGACTCTATGTGGCAGAGGTGCCATCGATGGTTTTATTACCCAAGTTTGGGGTACTTTCTTTCAGCGGAAAGTACCTGAGGGTTGTGCGGTCCTTCAAAAAGGACCGTGCGGCTCCCAATAATTTTGCATGTTCTCGCGGAAAATCCGCGAGAATGCGGCCACTGTGCCGCAACCTATACGAACTTCCCGTTCATATCGTACTTTGCGCTCAAGGAATTTGATGTGATTCACGGCGATTAAGGCTGTGCGTTTTCTCACAGGCAAAGTACTTTGATGGCTTATCAATGATTTTCTCATGCTTGCTTTTAGTATGTTTATATTGGCTCATATATATAAGTGGCTTACACAGTTTAGCTAGCATTGGTTATGTTTTTATGTTTTACATCTCATCGATTGTTTGTTGCTTTATTATTTCTTATTTTGATTACTTCATGTATTATCAATTGTATCTTTCCCACACTTGCCTTACTACCTCACGGATCACAGTTTAGTCTATGTCCTTTCACGGATCCCTCACAGCAGTCACAGGATAACATATCGCCTATGCTTGTATGTTATGCATCGTTACGTAGCCGCTCCATAGTTGTTGTTTGTATTTTTGTAATAAAGTTTAATTACCCATATAATAAGTAAGCGAATCTCAGGACTTCGAGCTGGAGGATAGGGGTTTTGGGTGTATATAGGCACAATTAGTCTATTAAGGAAAATAGGCAGGATTTTTTCCAATTTTTGTATTTTCATTAAAAATTCGCCAAAATTCAAGTTCCTTACGTTTTCCTGCCTCGCAATTCGAAAACTTGGACAAATCGGCGTCTAAATTGTGAGAAGAGGATACGCGGGACCATTCTGAAGGAAGGTTGTGTGGTTATGCGTCTTTTCAGAGGGGACTCATCTTTGCAGAATACATGTGTGCGACGCCCCGCCCCCAAAATTTTTTGAAACGGAAAAAAGATATGCTCAAACGTTATAAAAGAAATTTAAAAAAATGCGACTGCCATTTCTGATGAAGGTCTACCTAACCTGATTTTTTGGTGAATTATGGATGATTTTTAAAAAATCGATTTTTTCAGAAATTAGCAAAAAGTCGGTTTTTCAGATTTCGGGTTACGGTAAAGCTGAGGGTCTGCAATTTTGCACACATACATATAGTCTGTGCCTGACAACGCCATAATTTTTTCAGAATTTTAGGATCACTCTGGAGCGAGTTATGAAAAACCCGGCTCAAGACCAGGCCATAGCTCGAGAGTGGGCGGGGCTAAGGGGGCGGGGCTAATACCAAAAGATTCTCCAGGTCAAACTGGTCCGGGGGGAATTTGGCCCGAGGGGCAGGGGTTGATGCGGGGCCCGGTACGGCGGGGTAAAGATTCCTGGTTGAGCCTATTCAATTTTCCAGTGGGTCTCAGCCAATAAATAAGAGATTTTGCAATATATTGTATCGCCGTGCAATATATTGCACAGCGTATAATGGTGAATTTTCGCTGGTCAACGCGAATACATTGGGAGTGAAAAAATCACTTATTATCGAGTAAGTGACGAACCAAAATTTCGAGGAATTTTCAAAAATTCGGAAAAAATTGGGGAATGCTGGGGGCGTAAGATAAAAGGTATTTAAGCATGTTAGGGCCTTAGTTGAGGTACTTGAGGTCTTTTAAAAAATGTGTGAAGTGGATTTTGAGGTTTTGAATGCATGTATGTTCCTAGAATCTAAAAAATTTTAGGATTTTTTAAGAAGGTCTAGATTAATAGATGAGCGTCGGGGAGCTAAGGTAAAAGGGTTTAAGAGTTACTAAGTCTAAATTAAGACATATAGAATTTTTTGTAGAATAGTAGGCTTTTAACACCCGAATGATTACGGGCGTTTAGAAACTTTTCCGTTCCGAAAGGCGTTCCGAATGTTTGAAAGGGATTGATAGTGTGAAACAAGTTTTGGAACTAAGTTTCATTAAGTAAGGCCCTCGAAGGGTTTCTGCGTCGCGAATTTGCATAACGTTGTTTGAGTTTTATGATACAGCACCGATGACCGATGTTACTACTTTTGATATGCTGCATTTTTGGATGAAGTGCGAGCTTTACTGCATGTAGTTGAGACGAAATGTGCTGAAAAGTTTATTATTTGTTGTTTGATCGCATATTGCAATAAAGGATTTCAATTCCAACCCGAAGCTTGATATGAGATCAGATGAGGTAGATATGAAAGTGAGATGCAGTTTGGTACACGTATGACACACTAGAGACAGCTATATGATACAAACTGGGGGAGACTGCTGCATGATACAAACAAGGATTCGGTACTGGTTGCAAGATACACGCACTTATTATCCATCTTGCAAGAGATGCATGATTTGTTGATGTGTAAGTTCAGGCTTACGGCGTATCGTATTCCACGGCTCTATTGTTGGCAATGGAAAGTGACGAGTAAGTGGACCAGCTGATAGTAGCTTCAAGTGCAACGGCATTTCATCCGCTCTGGCTTCCGCCTGACGTTCCTACAAGCGTAAATAATATACAGAAGTCCTTCGCAAACTATGCATACAATCCAACATACCACTGCGTAAATTTCGTCGCCTACGACGGCTACGCAGCAACCGTAACGATGACCGCTTTCCTCAAGATGGCGTGCGCCTAACAGGATAACTAGCGGTTGTGGATCATTCTGCTTTTGGTACAGAATAAGAACAACCGATTCCATGCGCTTAAAAGCAGCTTCCGTCGCTATTTGTAGCAACTGTGCCAAGGGAGATGCGACCTTTACCAAGAACATGGCAGGGTCCGGAAACACATCCTGAATACATCGACGTAATTTTACATCCAACCCTGAGTTTAAGTGCATACTTACTCTATTAGTGAAAACGGTACGCCTGCTCCTTGCAAATGCTACTCTTGGATCGGCAACAGGAGTACTTTCCAGCAACAATCCTACTGCGCGTGCTTTCTGTGTCACCAAAAATAGAAGTTCTCCAATGTCGAAATCAGGCCTTTCATGTAAGCTGAGATCCTCTTCTGAGAGAGACCGCTCAAAATTCCATACTCTTTGGACATGGTTGCTTTGTCTTGCCGGTTGTAGAAATGAAGACGAAGCTGTGTGGATTAGTGTGCATACAAAAATTATTAATGGAATAAAATATATAAATAACGGAATATTCACCTTCTACTGCAGCCGGATCGCATACGTGACAGATGCACGGAAAATTTTTCGGAGAATTGGGCTTGCTTGGATCTCTTTCCCTTACAGCATAGTTCCACAATAGCTGTTCACCAGCCTGTAAGATGTGCATTGTGCAAAATTTTCAACATGCATGAAATGAATTTGCTTAAAGTTACCTGAATATCGCGACTAGCTATCAAACAATGCGCCCATCGAACTCGGCGTTTACCAAGGTACATGCACTTCATATTTAGGTTGGCGTGCTCAATTGATTGGTTTATGAGCCGCCCAAGCGTTACTGTCGCTTTGTACGAGTCGCAGTGAGCAAGTACGATGTAATTGCAGTCGCTTCCTTCCACTCCCATCCAATATTTGGCAACTTTTTGGCGTTGCTCTTCATCAAGTTCCTTATTGTAAGGCTTCAAAACGTCTTCCGACAATCCACGGTAACCACTAAACACAAGCACTAACACTATTAATTAGCTTTTTTACCTCATCATACACTAAGGTCCTACTTCAAGTGAATTCAAAAATAGAGGAAAGGATTTCTTACCGATAATCAGCAACAGCCATTCCTTTAGCGATGTCTACCTTAGCGAAAACACCTCGTCCTTTGATCGTAGGCATTTCTCTGACTTCCAGCCATGGAAAGTCCTTAAGCATGTTGACAATTACAACAACCGCTTTGATTTTTGAGATACCCACCTGTACAGGCTGTGCATGACATCTATGTATAAAATTGCTTAGCTGCCAAACGTTCTCGACTTCTGTTAATCCACTCGTATAAGATGTACTATTGAGAAGCTGTAAGTGCCGGCTCGGATCCATGGGCCCAAACCGCTTTTCAAGATCGGCAAGTAAGCTAGCGGGAACAGCTGATTTACGGACGACATGCACTCTTCTACGTACAGCCATTGTTATCGAGTCACTCAATATGAGTTCTGCATTTGCTGTGCAAGCTTCCGATTTCTGTCTTTTGAGATGAAATTTCAGCTTATACACTGGAATTTTTTCGACTGCTTCGTGTTCATCGACAATGTCAATATGTTGTACTGACGTTCCTTCACCACTACTGCTGCCTATCGGATGTTGCTCAAACTGTTTGAGTGGTAAAGGCGACGATGCTTGTGACTCCAACGCTGATGCTTGCGGCTCTAGTGCTCCTATGTCACCTTGTTCCATGACAATCTCCTCCAAAGTTAAGCTCGAATCTTCAGTCGTATCTACATGCATAGTGTGAGGTAGAATTAAAATTTTATGACACAAGTGTCTTACCCGCTTTCACTGGGGACGACACTCTCCGGCGTTTTCTTGGCGTTTCCTCACCTTCCGTTCGGCGTTGTAATCGTCGTCGAAATATATCTGAAGTTTAAAAAATACATATATATATATATATTTGTATAGTTTTTGCAAAGCTTCATGCAGGTGCGTGTGATAAAAATGTATAGAAAAATACCAGAACGAGAAAAAGGCCTGGCACTGTCGTTTCCGTCATTTCCTTCATTTTCGTCGTCTCCATCATCCTCTCCCTCCTCGTCATCATCATCTTCTTCTCCTCTTCCCTCTTCGCTCACATTTTTGTCAACTGGTATCTCATCGTAGTCATCCATTTCTAAATCCTCTTCTTCTAGATCGGCTAAGTGTTTACGTCGTTCCAAACTGAATTAAATCGATCAACACAGTGTGATAATAACGAAGAGTTTATAAAATTGTTTACTTTGCAAGCTTGAACATCCTTTTCACTTCCCGCACTCGTTCGCGGTTCCTGGCCGCTTCCTCTTCTCCTAATAAGCGCACCTTTATATATCCATAAGCGCAACTTTGCTTGTTTTGTGTAACGTAGTTTGCTGCTTGCGTCTCTTGTGTGTGACCTATTAAAAAAATAGATCACTGAATGCAATGCAACTTGTGCTAGCAAAGCGCAACTTTCACGTACCTGTCATGTATGCACAGTCTTTATCTGATCCTAGCAATTTGTCCAACCTTCGTTGAAAAGCGTCATCGTATTGCAAGTCTGCTATAGCGTGCCTTGACTAAAACACATAATAGTTTAGACTTTAGGGCGGCAATCGTTTAAAAAACGTACCACGTTACAAGAGAGATTTAATTTTCCAAATCCACTGTCCCGCAAGAACTGTTTCATTATATGCGGGACAGTCACTTGGTGAACGCGTTTTCCTCCATACTGAAGGAAAAAGGGAGCAAGTGGTTCTTTCATTCCTTGAAGCTTATTCTTCGCAATCACACTATAATATGCAAAACTTTGATAATAAGAGAAAACGCATTTCTTATGTCTTACAAATCTCGCAATTTCGTATAGTACGTCAGCCATTTTTTCGACTTTGCATCTAGCACGAAATATTGACCATAATATGGTTGCTTATACTGTGCAGCCTTAGTTCCACCCTTTGGTATAGGATAGCTGCCAATCTAAAATACCTTTTGATTATGGATATAGCAAACAATATAAGCTTCGCTTACCCATAATATCTCTTCCCCATCGCCATAGCGCAATGAAAAAGGTTGCAGCCCTGTACGATCTGCAGCAGGAATGGCCTCTTCTTGCTCAGACGGGTAAATACTACCGTACACCATTTTATATATACACTCATTCCTGCTTGTGTTGCAATGAATGATGTAGCACCAGAATGCTCTAAAATCAATGTTACACGAGAATCAAGCACTATGCAAAATAAGTGCTATAAGACAAACCCCATTATATAGTTATACTGGGCTGGTTGCAATGCACCCTTTCGCTCAAAAATCTTCATCAGCTTTTCGATGCTTTCTTCCACTCCTTTATGTTCAACAACAGCTCTTGCAACACAATAGAGCTCACCTTTCTGAATAAAATAAGTGAAAAGTGAAAGTGAAAAAGTGAAATACTGTCAGAAATTTACGCAACTCAACCTACCTGCTTTTCGCTGGGTACAATACCCTGAAATGATGATGCTCGCTTTTCCTCAATATTAAGCTTAGCTATGTAATTTAGACACTTTTTCCTTCCACGTTCCAAAACCTCAAGACGTTCACGGCCTGCTCCTAAAAGCGGTATATTTTTGTGAAAAATCGATTACGAAATGCTCTAAGATTTAATTATATAGAATGTAATCACTCACTTGCTTCGATTCCTTGCTCGATAAACTTACTGAATGCAATAAGAGCTTTGATTATGCTTTTCCGACAACCCACACTGACTCCTTCTGCTTTCAAACGCCTCATATACGCTTGTACAATTTCGCATGAATAGATCGCGTCGTCGATTGTTACTGTTTCGTTTATTCTGTAATTTAAAAGCTACAAGATTTTCAATTGTAGTGTAGCACATGACATACCGTTGTCGCGCCCTCATAGCTACAAGCATAAATCGATTTATACAGGAGATGTAGCCCCAAGTTCCATTCTTCAGTGGATTGCCTTTTCTCGCAGATGTATCGGGCTAAACAGCAGTTGGAGTAAACATGTTAAACGGTGTTTACATCGCGAAAGCACAGAGAATCTTGAGACCTTACCAGCTCTTCAGAAATGTACTCTTCAAATTCTTTCAGCAGTGGATGCGCCCTTCCATTTAATTTACGATAGTATTTTATCCCAGCATCCACATTCCCTTGCCATTCTTTAATGTTGAAATATGGCCATAATATGGTTATTGTAAGTATATTATGACTAAGTCACTGCTTACTGTGCTTGCGCTTTACTGGAACAGTATATTCTTCTACGTAATAATCTGGTACTGCTTGTTCATCCAATTCATAAGAAAACATAAGATCGAGATTAGGCGGAGCCTTGAACACTTCTGCCACTTGAGATCCACCTATGTTGCAAGTAATTATAAATATGTAAATATGTTTTCATTGATAGCTTTAACACGTTCATACCTGTGAAGCTTTTGTCGCCAAAACATGTGTATAGTCGGTGCCTTTGTGGTGTAGGTGTAAACGCCTCCAAAGCTGTTGCTTGTGAAGTGGACGGCCCCACTACTTCAATTTGCTCTTCTAGGACTGGTGCGGCTTCCTCAACAACTACCGGGCTACTCTCTTCTTCTAGCTCACGTTCTTCTTCTGTAGGAGCCTGAGTAATGAGGAGAGTATGAGCGTAGAAACAAGGGTTTGAAAATTGACGATTCTTTGGGTTTTTTTTATTTTAGCTGAAGTGATTTCAAACTTTTTTCATGGGAATGCGGGAAAATTAAAAACGCATCAACTATTGCATAGGATCATTGATAGATTATAATGGCTTATCCTATTGGCACTTATGACGAAATCGCATTCATTAATAAGTTGATATAGTTTCGAATCTATTTGTTTGTAAATCCTACTCTGAAGCGTTCTTCCAATCCTTGGATCTCCACGTTCATTTCGGCACGAGTCACATACCTGTCTCGGCTGATCTGACCTTTATATTCCTGAAATCAAAGACTTTAGTTAATTATTCAATTACTTCGAGTATTACATTAACGCATCAAATCAGCTTACCCCTAGAATGGGTATGCCAAAATTTTTGATCTGCCGTGTAAGATCGCGGTAGATGCACAATTCTCCGTACGTTACTGGCTTACGTACAAGCCTCAGATCTATTCGTGCTACACCCATGTACTGAGTGATACCGCGTCCCAGCTGCTCGACAATCTGCATTTTGAAATAAATCTTGCTCTGATCAGTGGCGTACTTTGTAGTGAACGTATTATTGCCATGAAGCGTGGATGAACTAACCTTGAAATCTATCGAATCTTTTTGAAGAACGTCACTATGTGCTCTTAGTAGATGTTCACTCATGCGATATTCTCCGTGTTTTCCACAAACGACGCAGAAGTGCGCGGCTTCGCTCGTATGTTTTGGATAGAACATTTCTATAATTATGTTTTATTACATCGTTTAAAAAATGTTTGACAATTGAGGCAACTGACCTTCAGGCATATGCTCCGGAAAAAATTTGATAATATGTTCTGCCTTCAGTCTTTCAAGATTTTCTCTTGCTGCATCGCCAATTCTAACAATTTTGTCATATTTTTTCGTTCTTCGGATACGCTCAGCCATTTTCTGGTATCTTGGTAAAGAATTCGTCAAACTGCAAGTTCTATAACTTTTGAATAGTACGAATTGAAAAACAATCACAAATGCGCTTGTGATTAGACATTTGAAAGGATGAAAATATATGAAAGTGTTTATAACACTTTGATATCGTACATGGAAGATTTTTACTTCCTCTATTTTTTAAAAAACTATGCATCTTTATTCATTATGCGATCGAGATTAAATGGGAACAATTTCGATAGGCTCCCTTCGAGCTTTTCTGAGCGATTCGACACTTCGTGTCCATCGCCTGAGCGATCTCAACTGACGTTGTTGATTGAATATAATCAAAGACAATAGTCCAAACATCAAACAGCCAAAAAATCGATCAATGCAAAAATTCCATGCATAGTATTCCTTGTAGCCATGAGGCTTGGAGATGTAGCCGTCATAGCTTTCAATATATGGCTCTAACGAAGAGTTTGATGACTAAAACCATTGATATCAAATGCAATCTGCATAACTGATCTTCACTTACCGGTAGTATAATGTTCAGTTCTAAAGTCATGTTCCCTGTTGCAACTCGTGCCGTCACCTCTATCGGCCCTAATTGAAGTAGCGCCCCGTTTGGTATCTCCACAACAGTGACAGGTTGAAGGACTGCAACTTCAATCCATTTGCTTTCATCCGTTTTCTTATACAGCATCCTCTTCCTTCGGGTAGCTATCACTGTGGTCCTCAACAGTGGCTCCACATGTGTAAACTAAGATGTTTGTATGACGTATAAAAAGTCAAAAGTTACTGTTCAAAAGCTCTTACCATTTCATCGCTAGAGTTACGTTTTGATACAGCACAGCCATGTCGTTTGTTACGGTCTAAAGCGCATGACTCACTTTGTAGTCTTGTCTTACAAAGGAGTGTCGACGATATTCCGGTGCAATCAGCATCGATATCTCCCACTTCTGCCAGCATACTAACATTGCTGACCTTCATCGACAATGGCACAATATAATATGTGCTCAATTCATGAGTCGCATACACTGCACCATCTTCGCTAAACTTTCCTAAGGCTACCACGCGCATCAAATATCCCAGATCTTCTTCTCTTGTAGTTGGGTAGCAGATCTAAAAATGTGCGCTCAATATTTCGTTTTCACATAAGTTTGAAGATTACTACTTGCCTTTACTACCATTACGTGCTTGTTCATAGAAAGTACAGTGGCTTTCAAGCTTTGGCCAGCAGCAAAGTATCTCTTCTTTAACATTGACGCGTTGAAACGTTTTTCACCCATAAGCTTTGCGATGGCGGACAGTAGGTTGTTTTCACCGCGATGTTTGATAAGTCGGTTCGAGACACTGCCACGATCGAATAGTTCTGTGAGAGCACTCTCCACAGCCAAATTGAGCTGGGTTCTGACATGGGAGAACACGAAGTTGAACCGATTTCTAGAGAATAATGGCTATATAATAATTTCTACCTTGCTTACATTTGATGATATACGTTTGTGAATATATAAAACTTCTTATTCAATTTCGACTTACATGCTAGTCTGCAATTCCAATATCTCTGCCAAATTGTGCAACTTTGTTCTAATCGCTAGAAGATTTTCTGCTATTTTCTGAAAATATGCATTTGACTAGAGTAGCAAGAAAATAAATAATCAGATCACGTACACTTTGTTGCTGTTCCTCCTCTGTAAATCGGTGCAATAGGCTTGACACACTATCATACACGAATTTTCCTAATCCAATTCCTACTCCAAAGGCAATGACTCCGATCACGGGGAAAAACTCTAATTGCTCCGAGCTAAAATTTGGAAAATGTTTGTGTTCAAGCATAGGTTTTTTTCAAGTAACTGACTTGTAATGCGGCGTAGTACTCCTATAGTTCTCGAATAACTCGCGCATCTCTTGAATATGCGGTTTCAATGCTTGTTGCCTTAAGGTCGTATAAACCTGTGTAAACGATAAGTTTCGACATTTGAGATTACCGTCAACACATTTAGACCACTGTTAACAGCAGTTTTACCTTGGCACGTAAATCTCGATCTAGAGTGCTGTTGTCGTTCAAGGTTTCCTTGAACATTTTCAGCACTTCGTCAAACATTCTTCCATCTTTGTAGCTTCCATAATCTATGTGCGACAGTAATATAGTATATCTACATAAGGATACAAAATTAACATGTATAATTGTTTGCAATCTATGCGTGTTACAGAATAAGGCACTTTGCTGCGCCCTTTATTTCCAATCAAATTAGTTTTCCGGACTTTTTGTTAGCGTAAGCTACGACCGTTCAGGAAGACGGCCGCTTTTACCTTTTATTTCACGAATTCTTGCATTTTTGTCTCGTCACGTCATAGATTAACGCACAGTGACAGGTCAACAATGTATTTGAGAAATAACAGTATGAAGATCCAGCATCTCTACGCGTTCAAAGTGATAAAATGTGGTGTCCAGTCCAATCTCAAGTCATTACTAAATATAAAAATGACAATCACCCTTTGGTAAAATCCTACAGTAAGCGTTTCATGATAATAATCTTTTTGAAGCAACATAAATGAACTTCTCAGCATAACTGTTGGTAGGCATACCTAATAAGACAGTGCCACATTCCCGCTCATGTTTAGCTGCGAATCCCTCTATTTCACCATGAAATCCATTTTCGTGAAACCTCTTTTGAGTGGCTTCGTCGAAATAAGGTAGTCCTGTAGTTGATGAGGTGTCCATGCTAGTGGCAAGGAATACGGGACGAGCAGCATCGACGAGAAGTGCGAAGATGATAAATGTAGTTGAGTTAATAGAAAACATTTGTTATCTGAAAACAATCGTGTAAAAGTAAAGTAGACATAAAGAAGTCCTGTAAGAGATTTACGGTAAACTTTCGCAAGAAAATGCATCAAAATATACGAAGAAATCAGCATATGCAATAGGTAGAGGTGATATTTTGTGAAATTCCCGTTGGCGCACGACTTGTTACAATCAAAGATATCAAAAGAAACGATGAACGAGGTGTTGCGAAAAATAAGGTTTGAAACAACGATATACGCACGACACGACTGACACAAAATCACGAAGATAATGTCTGCTCTTAAACTGCTTCAAATTTTGTAACTGCAAGAGTACCTATACGTCGCACTGAAAAGTCAGATGGAGCATAGTGCACGAGGAGCACTTTACTACAACATCTTTTACAGTGGCTATCAACAACGCGCATGGTTCTAATGCTGATTACCAGCAATGTAACTACGCATCAATTCGCGTACTTACTGCGGTGATATTCATATGGTACTAGAAACGGATTTGTAAAAAATTCCGCAGACTAGCCATACACACGAATGAATTCCATATTAGACTAACTTTCTCTTGAGTCAGTACGTATCAAAGTCCTAGACTTAAGCTCTTGTGAAAAATACAGCTTTCTAATTCAATATGGAAAAAAACGAAAAGGGCATATATGGGCTAAATTTTGCCGACGAATCCAATGGTGCCCTTGGCTTTTCGCTATCTTTACTCCATAAGCGACGTTTTGCCCCATATTCACAATGGGCCTCAGACTCAGCCGATAAGGCTGATTCTTTTTGAGTGGTGTTAAAGTCTTATAGTGTTTGTGTAGTCAAAATTTGAGCGCCGCAGCTTTCCAAGAACTCGAGATATGAAAAAGAAAAAATTTATAGGGTTAAAAATCCCGGATTTTTAGCTTGGGGATATGGAGTAAGCCGATGAGGTCCAAAAAATGGTGGATAGTAAGCAGTCAGCATAGTAGTATGCCTGCAAAATTTGAGCCTTCTAGCTTTATTTTGAACCGAGTTATGAGCTCGCCAAGTTTCGTGCAATATATGGTACTGTCACTTATCTTGGGCTGATAAGTACCAAAACGCTGATCTCGCTTTTTTGTGGAAATACAGCTTTCTAACTCAATATGGAGAAAAACGAAAAGGACATATATGGGCTAAATTTTGCCGACAAATCCAATGGTGCCCTTGGCTTTTCGCTATCTTTACTCCATAAGCGACGTTTTGCCCCATATTCACAATGGGCCTCAGACTCAGCCGATAAGGCTGATTCTTTTTGAGTGGTGTTAAAGTCTTATAGTGTTTGTGTAATCAAAATTTGAGCGCCGCAGCTTTTCTAGAACTCGAGTTATAAAAAAGAAAAGAATTTAAATGGTCAAAAATCCGGATTTTTGGGTCGGAAGGAAGGAGTGAACCGATGAGGTCCAAAAAATGGTGGATAGTAAGCAGTTAGCATTGTAGTACGCCTGCAAAATTTGAGCCTTCTAGCTTTATTCTGAACCGAGTTATGAGCTCGCCAAGTTTCGTGCAATATATTGTACTGTCGCGTGCCTGGGCTGACAAGTAACAAAACGCCGACCACGTTTTTTGTGGAAATACAGCTTTCTAACTCGATATGGAGAAAAACGAAAAGGGCATATATGGGCTAAATTTTGCCGACGAATCCAATGGTACCATCGGCTCTTCGCCATCTTTACTCCATAAGCGACATTTTATCCCATATTCACAATGGGCCTCAGACTTAGCCGATAAGGCTGGCCTTTTTTGTGTAGTGTTAAGGTCTTACACTGTTTATGTAGTCAAAATTTGAGCGCCGTAGCTTTCCTAGAACTCGAGATATAAAAAAGAAAAGGTTTAAATGGTCAAAAATCCGGATTTTTGGGTCGGGAGGAAGGAGTGAACCGATGAGGTCCAAAAAATGGTGGATAGTGAGCAGTCAGCATTTTAGTATGCCTGCAAAATTTGAGCCTTCTAGCTTTATTCTGAACCGAGTTATGAGCTCGCCAAGTTTCGTGCAATATATTGTACTGTCGCGTGCCTGGGCTGACAAGTAACAAAACGCCGACCACGTTTTTTGTGGAAATACAGCTTTCTAACTCGATATGGAAAAAAACGAAAAGGGCATATATGGGCTAAATTTTGCCGACGAATCCAATGGTACCATCGGCTCTTCGCCATCTTTACTCCATAAGCGACATTTTACCCCATATTCACAATGGGCCTCAGACTTAGCCGATAAGGCTGGCCTTTTTTGTGTAGTGTTAAGGTCTTACACTGTTTATGTAGTCAAAATTTGAGCGCCGTAGCTTTCCTAGAACTCGAGATATAAAAAAGAAAAGGTTTAAATGGTCAAAAATCCGGATTTTTGGGTCGGGAGGAAGGAGTGAACCGATGAGGTCCAAAAAATGGTGGATAGTGAGCAGTCAGCATTTTAGTATGCCTGCAAAATTTGAGCCTTCTAGCTTTATTCTGAACCGAGTTATGAGCTCGCCAAGTTTCGTGCAATATATTGTACTGTCGCGTGCCTGGGCTGACAAGTAACAAAACGCCGACCACGTTTTTTGTGGAAATACAGCTTTCTAACTCGATATGGAAAAAAACGAAAAGGGCATATATGGGCTAAATTTTGCCGACGAATCCAATGGTACCATCGGCTCTTCGCCATCTTTACTCCATAAGCGACATTTTACCCCATATTCACAATGGGCCTCAGACTTAGCCGATAAGGCTGGCCTTTTTTGTGTAGTGTTAAGGTCTTACACTGTTTATGTAGTCAAAATTTGAGCGCCGTAGCTTTCCTAGAACTCGAGATATAAAAAAGAAAAGGTTTAAATGGTCAAAAATCCGGATTTTTGGGTCGGGAGGAAGGAGTGAACCGATGAGGTCCAAAAAATGGTGGATAGTGAGCAGTCAGCATTTTAGTATGCCTGCAAAATTTGAGCCTTCTAGCTTTATTCTGAACCGAGTTATGAGCTCGCCAAGTTTCGTGCAATATATTGTACTGTCGCGTGCCTGGGCTGACAAGTAACAAAACGCCGACCACGTTTTTTGTGGAAATACAGCTTTCTAACTCGATATGGAGAAAAACGAAAAGGGCATATATGGGCTAAATTTTGCCGACGAATCCAATGGTACCATCGGCTCTTCGCCATCTTTACTCCATAAGCGACATTTTACCCCATATTCACAATGGACCTCAGACTTAGCCGATAAGGCTGGCCTTTTTTGTGTAGTGTTAAGGTCTTACACTGTTTATGTAGTCAAAATTTGAGCGCCGTAGCTTTCCTAGAACTCGAGATATAAAAAAGAAAAGGTTTAAATGGTCAAAAATCCGGATTTTTGGGTCGGGAGGAAGGAGTGAACCGATGAGGTCCAAAAAATGGTGGATAGTGAGCAGTCAGCATTTTAGTATGCCTGCAAAATTTGAGCCTTCTAGCTTTATTCTGAACCGAGTTATGAGCTCGCCAAGTTTCGTGCAATATATTGTACTGTCGCGTGCCTGGGCTGACAAGTAACAAAACGCCGACCACGTTTTCTGTGGAAATACAGCTTTCTATCTCAATATGGAGAAAAACGAAAAAGGCATATATGGACTAAATTTTGCCGACAAATCCAATGGTGCCCTCGGCTTCTCGCCATCTTTACTCCATAAGTGACGCTGTGAGCGATATTCACAATCGGCCTCAGACTCAGCCGATAAGGCTGATTCTTTTTGAGTGGTGTTAAAGTCTTATAGTGTTTGTGTAGTCAAAATTTGAGCGCCGCAGCTTTCCAAGAACTCGAGATATGAAAAAGAAAAAATTTATAGGGTTAAAAATCCCGGATTTTTAGCTTGGGGATATGGAGTAAGCCGATGAGGTCCAAAAAATGGTGGATAGTAAGCAGTCAGCATAGTAGTATGCCTGCAAAATTTGAGCCTTCTAGCTTTATTTTGAACCGAGTTATGAGCTCGCCAAGTTTCGTGCAATATATGGTACTGTCACTTATCTTGGGCTGATAAGTACCAAAACGCTGATCTCGCTTTTTTGTGGAAATACAGCTTTCTAACTCAATATGGAGAAAAACGAAAAGGACATATATGGGCTAAATTTTGCCGACAAATCCAATGGTGCCCTTGGCTTTTCGCTATCTTTACTCCATAAGCGACGTTTTGCCCCATATTCACAATGGGCCTCAGACTCAGCCGATAAGGCTGATTCTTTTTGAGTGGTGTTAAAGTCTTATAGTGTTTGTGTAATCAAAATTTGAGCGCCGCAGCTTTTCTAGAACTCGAGTTATAAAAAAGAAAAGAATTTAAATGGTCAAAAATCCGGATTTTTGGGTCGGAAGGAAGGAGTGAACCGATGAGGTCCAAAAAATGGTGGATAGTAAGCAGTTAGCATTGTAGTACGCCTGCAAAATTTGAGCCTTCTAGCTTTATTCTGAACCGAGTTATGAGCTCGCCAAGTTTCGTGCAATATATTGTACTGTCGCGTGCCTGGGCTGACAAGTAACAAAACGCCGACCACGTTTTTTGTGGAAATACAGCTTTCTAACTCGATATGGAGAAAAACGAAAAGGGCATATATGGGCTAAATTTTGCCGACGAATCCAATGGTACCATCGGCTCTTCGCCATCTTTACTCCATAAGCGACATTTTACCCCATATTCACAATGGGCCTCAGACTTAGCCGATAAGGCTGGCCTTTTTTGTGTAGTGTTAAGGTCTTACACTGTTTATGTAGTCAAAATTTGAGCGCCGTAGCTTTCCTAGAACTCGAGATATAAAAAAGAAAAGGTTTAAATGGTCAAAAATCCGGATTTTTGGGTCGGGAGGAAGGAGTGAACCGATGAGGTCCAAAAAATGGTGGATAGTGAGCAGTCAGCATTTTAGTATGCCTGCAAAATTTGAGCCTTCTAGCTTTATTCTGAACCGAGTTATGAGCTCGCCAAGTTTCGTGCAATATATTGTACTGTCGCGTGCCTGGGCTGACAAGTAACAAAACGCCGACCACGTTTTTTGTGGAAATACAGCTTTCTAACT